TGTACAGTGTACTGCACGCACTGGAGTATACATTTGAATTTGTACTGCTGAGAGTTTGTTTATGTAATAGATATTTTAATGTTAAAAGATAAAAATTTAAGAATATTTCCCTCAAATACTGGAGTATACATTTGTTTAAACAGTGTACTGCAAGCACTGGAGTATACATTTATTTGTACAGTGTACTGCAGACATGCACTGGAGTATACATTTGGTTGTACAGTGTACTGCACGCACTGGAGTATACATTTGTTTGTATAGTGTACTGCACGCACAGGAGTATAAATTTGTTTGTACAGTGTACTGCACACACTGGGGTATACGTTTGTTTGTACAGTGTACTGCACACACTGGAGTATACATTTTTTTGTACAGTGTACTGCACACACTGGAGTATACATTTGTTTGTACAGTGTACTGCACACACTGGAGTATACATTTGTTTAAACAGTGTACTGCACGCACTGGAGTATACATTTGTTTGTACAGTGTACTGCACACATGCACTGGAGTATACATTTGTTTGTATAGTGTACTGCACGCACAGGAGTATACATTTGTTTGTACCAGTGTACTGCACGCACTGAAGTATACATTTGTCTGTACAGTGTACTGCACGCACTGGAGAATACATTTGTTTGTATAGTGTACTGAACGCACAGGAGTATACATTTGGTTGTACAGTGTACTGCACGCACTGGAGTATACATTTGTTTGTATAGTTTACTGCATGCACTGGAGAATACATTTGTTTGTACAGTGTACTGCACGCACAGGCGTATACATTTGTTTGTACAGTGTACTGCACGCACTGAAGTATACATTTGTCTGTACAGTTCCCAGTTAGGGTTATATTCGCTGAATTGATTAACTTTAATGGGGGGAAAATGTTGAAAAAAGTTAAGAAAAAAAACTTGAACTATAACAATGTTTTTCCCAAGCATGGGGAAGGGGGGCGAGGTTCTTAAAAATATATATTCCCTGAGAGTGGCCTTTTTTTACAATTGCAGCCTCAACCAATTGACTGGTTAAAAATTAATAAGAAATTCTTGTTGTGTAACTAAAAAACTGTGGATTAATCTCTATAAAAGTAAGTTCAGGATTTATACTGCAGAGATAATGAAGTAAATTGTCATGATTAACACATTTTAAAATTAAACAACGACACAATATATTTCACTTTGTTACATAGTGAATCGTACAAACCAGTCCAACCACTATGAAGGGTAACACTCCCCTTTAATATACTGGTCTATAATGGCGCACTTTGCACTGTAATAAAATCCGCGAAAACAATTTATTTAGCATCTTACCCAGGTAATAAATTTAGTTAATGACGAGGTTTTGTACTCTAAATTCTAACAAGGAAAAGATACTAAAAATTAAAAATTAAAATTATATAAACCTTGATTAACGGTGCATTTATACATTTCAGTTTGAAGAAGGTTTAAAATAGGACAGAAACCCTCTGGCTAAGACTTAAATTTTTTTTTCAATTCATCTATCTATATGAAGTTGTAATCTCTCTTTGTATGTTTGTTTGTCCGATCATAACTCAGAAACCCCCAGACCAACTTGTCTCAAATTTTGATTGGGGAACTCGGGAGAACCATGGGAAGTTCTTAGTTTGGTTTTGAGACTCTATGTTGAGTGAGTCATGGGAAAAAGCTAAAATCGTAATTTACGACCAAACTTGAAGATTTGAAGTTAAATCACAATACAGCAAATATATGTTAACCCTGTAGGTGGCTGAACTGCCTATACTGCATCTTGAATCATCGATTCAAAGTTAAATTCATGAATCATGATCGGATTTGAATCGGAAATTCAAGATTTAAACAGGTAGATTTATAAATTTATAAAATTCTGTCCTCTGCCCCCTGCTCCAGGTACCTGAGTTCATCCTGGTCTCCGACCATAGGCAGACCGTGCTCAACTCTCCGGAGAAAATCTTCAGTTTTCTTTTTTAATCTTTGTAACTCCTGCTTCCGATCAAACTCTATCATATCCAGAACCTTGATGAAATATTTATTCAACATCTATACATATAACNAAATAAATACTTTTTATTTAGGTTTAAACCCACTGTACTCTATGATACCAACTCAGTCATAAGGAAACATTTTTCGACAAATTTCACTGTACAGTATAAACCTAGCCAGGCAAAACTAGGAGAGTTATGCCCGCCCCCTGTTTTTAGTTTATGGATACAAACAGACCGACAAACAGAAAGTTTAGAACTCTATTCGCTGAATCAATGGTAATTATTACCCGATCTTAATTATGATTATTACAATTTCGATTATTTAAAAAAAAATTTAAAACCTACCTTTGTCACCCCTTTCTCTAATTCTGAAGCGTCTGTAAGTTTAGTAAGCTGCATCTGAAACTCTGTTGAATGTCTCTGTGCTTGTTGAATTTTCTCCGCAAATTCTTCCAATTCGATCATTTTGGTTGACGTGATCGCGATTCTCCGGGATAATTCGCGCAGCTCGTGTAGCGTATCTCCGATTGGTTCTCCGTCTTTCCGCCCAGTACTTTTCTTTCGTTTCTGATCATCTTCCTGTAAAAAGGAAATAGCACACTATAGTTTCAGTAGAAGTAAATATTTCCATTTACTGAGAGCGCCGATTGAAGGATTCATAACTCTAATTGGGTAATGAGATAGATAGAAAGATGGATGTGATATTGGTTCAGAACAGACAACAAACACATGACTGCAGAACCCTGATTGGATCAGGCGCTAATGGACTCGACATACAGGAGTGATAGGGAAATAGATAGACGACATTAAAGCAATATTTAACTATACACTTTTAAAATCCCTGATTTAGTAAAATGTGTCTGTTTACACTGAACAATTGCTGTTTCTCATGCTCATTATAACTTGATTCTTAAAGTCTTCCTATTTCACAGGTAACATATAAGAAGTTGAGGTAACATAAAAGAAGTTGAGGTAACATAAAAGAAGTTGAGGTAACATAAAAGAAGTTGAGGTAATATAAAAGAAGTTGAGGTGACATAAAAGAAATTGAGGTAACATAAAGAAGTTGAGGTAACATAAAAGAAGTT